CAAGCTGAAGGATCAGGACTCTCCCCAAAACATACCTTGAAAACATAAAGTGGGTGCTTCTCATATGAGGAGCCTATATGGATTTTTTTAAGCATATCAGGATACATCTCAGTTACAACTTCTATCCAAGAATAGATCTATTAAAACGGAAACTAGTGGTTAGTCACAGAGCAAGTGCAAAACATTTCCCTGGCAATAGACAACGTTTTCAGAGAAAGGAGATTCCTGTAAAACCTCTGTATGTGTAAGCAGTGAGGAACTAAAACTCTTGGGGCAGAGTGCTTCTTCTGTTTTTGGGGGAAATTAATAAAGTTAAAGTTTTGATAAATGTTCAGGGTTACAGAAAGAGTGAAAAAAGTACTAAGAAATTTACAACAAAGTAGAAACAGTTAATCTTTAAACTATAGCCCCTGGAAGTTATTTTTAAAGACTCATCACATCCAGCCCTGCCCTAAGTATGAAAGCCTCTTTCAAGAGTTCACTTCTATATGAAACTTTTAAAAAATTCACTTTGCAAGACTAAAAGACCCCTGGGCACTGTCTTTATGACCTAACCCCCCAGTACCTTAGAATGTGAAATATTTGAAGTTAGGGCCTTTAAAGATATAATTAAGTTAACATGTGGCCCTTAGGGTGGACACTAACTATCCAATCTAACTAGTGTCCTTATTAGAGGAGGAGATTAGGACATACAGAGAGAGACACCAGAGATGCACATGCTCAGAGAACAGGTCATGTGAGGGAGGACACGGTGAGAAGGTGGCTATCTACAAGTCAAGGAAAGAGGCCTCAGCAGAAACTAAACTTGCGACACCTTAATCTTGGGCTTCTAACCTCAGAACTGTGAGAAAATAAGTTGGTGGTATTTTGTTGTGGCAGTCCTAGCAAATTAATACCATCACGTGCTTGTTTTTTTTTTTCTCCTGTGTCATTCCAACTCTTTTCTGATAAGAAAATATACATTTTAAAAACCAGATAATTAAACATATTAAAAAATACTTCTGGTCGGTTGGGCGCAGTGGCTCATGCCTATAATCCCAGCGCTTTGGGAGGCTGAGGTGAGAGGGTTGCCTAAGCCCATGGATTTGAGACCAGCCTGAGCACTTGGCGAGACCTCATCTCTACAATAAATCAAAAAATTAACCAGGCGTGGTGACGCATGCCTGTAGTTTCAGCTGCTTGGAAGGTTGAGGCAGAAGGAAGGATCAACTGATCGAGGCTGCGGTGGCCGTGAGCGTGCCAGTGGACTCCAGTGGACTCCAGCAGGCAACAGAGTGATACTCTGACTCAACCCCTCCCCACCAAAACCCAAAAAACTTCTGTTTAAGGCATTCCTCTCTCCCCATGAAATAGCAGTGGCATTTTCAACTGCACTTTGCAAACCACTCCTATGCAGCCTCTCTACATCAAGTTTGCTTGTGCAGTGCTGATGATGGATGCTGGAGAGAGGCAGTTTAGGTGAAACAGATGCAGAAGAAGAGAAAGAAAGTAGGGGTGTGCAGTTGTAAGACCCCCTCAGTCAGCCAGGCACATTGATTCTAGAAGCAGACTGAATTCAATTTTAACTAACTAGGAAGGAACAGATGCTTTAAAATATTATATCTAAAATTGATTCTTATTACCTAATCTTAGGTGTCTTAAAAATATAGATATGGTTCCTAATGGTTTCTGGGCACCTAGTCAAAAACAATAAAAAATACTTATATTAGGTAATATAGCAGTGTACTTTTTTGAGAAAAAAAAGGTCATTGAGGTATTTGTATTACTTGGAGTATACTGTACAAAAAAGAAAGTCTTCCAAAACATGTATTCTTTCAACTAACAAATTTGGGGAAATGACTTTTAGTGTATTTATGTGAAAGCCTACTGAGGTCCCAACTAAACAATAACATCTTACTCAGTTTCCCTCTAGAAAAAGTGAACTCTGTAAGCACTTTAGATTAAAACACAGGCATTAATACTTTTATTAGCTTAAATAGTTTCCTCCTACCAGGAATAAAATGCAATTATTTATAGTGTATTAAATATAAGTGAATATATTCTTTTAATTCAGTGAGTTCATCTGGCAGTTATTCAGTAACAATCAAATTAGGGTCATGGCCCACAGGATTAATTGGACTGGTCATATTTTTTGTGGCCATTTCAATTAAAAGCCCCTATTCTTTCTTCCTGTTGTTCCTTAGCATGCAGTGGTACTCCTGGCAGCTTGAGATACTCTCGGCTGTGGCCAAACACCCTGCAGTTTACCAACTACGATGCAATCTTTCCAGAAAAGATACTTGTAGAAGGATGAATTACCACCATGTAATTAACCTAAGTATGATTTTTTTTTCTTTACCATCCTCCACCAATTATGATTCTTTGATAGATTCCCTTGGGTGAAAAGGGCAACACTGGTTAAATGAAAACAGAAGCTTTGAAGAGCAGTGTGATGTCTTACCTCATCTAGCGGGTGATAATGTTCGTAGTATGATGTGGAGGCTCGGGGGATGACTGTGTCATTGAAAGTCTGCTGTTGGATAAGTTTTTCAACATCTCCCAGCAAGACTCTAGATAGTGAAACAGAGAGTGAGCTGCCTTCTAAGCAGAGGGATGACCTTCCCACATGGCCCACTGCTGGCATAACAGGTGAGATTAGGGAAACAATCTCTAAGAAATCGAATATGCATTTCATCAAGATAAAAACACCACCACTTCACATTGTGATAAACTGATTCACAAAACTCACCCTTTCCCACCATTGTCAATATTGCTGGATTGTGATCCCTCAATGTCTTTTATGTGAACATGTAAATTAATACAACTTTCATCAATCCAGAGTATTATTGCATTATTCTGTTTTCAGTTAAAAATCAAGGAGAAGGCCGGGTGCAGTGGCTCATGCCTGTAATCCCAGTACTTTGGGAGGCCAACGCGAGAGGATTGCCTGAGCCTAGGAGATCGAGACCAGCCTGGGCAACATGGTGAGACCTCATCTCTACAATAAATGAAAAATTAGCCTGGTGTGATGGTGCGTGCCTGTAGTCCCCAGCTACTTGGAAGACTAAGGTGGAAGGATCACCTGAGCTCAGTAGCTTGAGGCTGTGGCAGGTGATCACGCTACTGCACTCCAGCCTAGGTGACAGAGTGAGACCCCGACTCAAAAAAAGAAAAAAATCAAGGAGAAACAGAAAGTCTTTTCTTTGTGTTTTTTGTTTTTTCTTTTTGTTTTCCATTGACCTACATCAGATGTTCTGCAGAGCCAAAGAAATGGAAGTATTGGAAAAGGGAAAGCACGGGAAAGGCATTTCATTTAATTTCTTTCCAGGAGCACCACATTTATTAACTAGGCAAACATTTTAACTGAATTAAGGCATTCTATCACCCAGGATGGACAATTTAAAGGTTGGCTATCATACTAATAATGTTTTCTTTACTTTTATTAATGGATAAAGATGATGGCTTTGATATCAAAAAGGTCTGAGTTTGACTCCTAGCTCTGCCATGTTCTTGCTGATTGGTCTTGAGAAATTCCTTATAAATAAGATTTTTTTCATCTGCATAATGAGGAGAGTATCTACTTCACAGTATTAATAAAGATTAAGTGATACATCATATAGAAAGGATCAGCACAGTTCCTGCAGAATAGTAAATACCTATAATATATTACTAATAATTGGAATAGTGTATTATCTAGAGATCACCCACTGGTACACAGAAGACAGCATGGTCTCAAGGAGAAAGCTGGGCCAGCAGTAGGACACTGGCAGTTGGGCAGTGAATATAGATTGTAGACGCTGCACAGGAGAATACGAAAGAAAGGGAAGTGGACCCTGAACAGAGATTGCACCTGATATACTTAAAAAATATATAAAATAATTTAATTTGCATGGTAGGTGCTATTTTTATTCCTAATTTAGAAAACGGAGGCACAGAGATTAATAATTCCCACAGGGTCACACAGGTGTAACGTGAAAGTTCCAGGTTTCAATCCAGGTTCTCTGCAAAGTCAGAGCGCCTGTTCAACTTTTTTATTTTATTTAGGGCCAGACATTCAGAAATGTTCGTTGACTTTGTGAAGGAAGAATCAGCAAAAGCTAAATCCTCTTAGCAGCTGCTTTTTCAGGAGATACCACAAAACCTAACAAGGTAAATGACAATTTTGCTTTCCATGTCTGAGTACACAGGAGTCACAGAAGAAGGAACTATGAGAGGCTCTAGTGATCACTGAGTCTAACCTTCATTTTAGTTAAGGGACCAAGGTCATGAGAGGTTAAACCACTTGTCCAAGGTCATAGAGCTGGACCTTGGGCTTTATTACCAGTTCATTTTAGACTTCTATGCTGCCATGCTTAATGTCTAATTTTTCCAGGAAGCAATTATATCATCCCCTAAACAAATTTATAATAGGTGCTTATAATAGCTACTCCATTGGTATTGAGTGATGCTTACCTGTATTGAATTCTGCTCACATTTAAATGGGTTTTCACAATGTTTACATCAGATGCATTCACAAAAAAATGGACTTGTTTTTGCTTTGCAATAAATTCAGCTGTTACAGGCTGCCAGAGAACAATCTATAGTTTTAAGAGGAAACAATGATAAAATAAAAAGAGAGTTGTTCACATCATTCTCATTTGTAGCTAGAGCCATGAAAGTTGTGTCTACAAGAGGCATTGAAATGACACTTCCTGACCACTGGTCCCCATGGTAATATTATCATATTTACCTGGTAATATAAACATTTATTTTGCAGTAAGATTTTTTTATTCTTCCCTATAACTCTAGTTGCTAAAAAGGTCCTGGAACATACAAGACCCTTGATAAACATCTAATAAGACAATGAATGAAAAAATAAATATATTTATAACTCAACTGTAAAACTGGATATGTACGAGGGGGACAATTATTTTTTGGAGGGCAGGTCCCTTGTAGTACAGGCTACCCCTGCTAGGGAATGTTCTAGGAAACCCTTGGTGTCAGTGCATTGGCTAGCATTGTTGTGAGAGGCTGGGTTCAGCTTCAGTGAATTTTTTTTGGTGTGGAGATTCTTTAAACGCATTTGCCCATTTCATGATGAGTAATTTACGAGTGCACCTGCCTATACCTTGCTGAGCATCCAGCAGTTTTTAACTAAAATGGCTGACCCCTGTGCCCTACTCTCCCTATTCACCCAATCTTGCCCCCAGTGACTTTTTTTTTGTTTCCCTGGATGAAAAAATCCTCCAAGGGAAAAGTTTTGCCAACGTGGAAGAGGAGAAACAAAAAGGCAGAAGCACTAAAAGACATCAAAATTGATGAGCTCAAAAACTATTCTGGGCAGTGAAAAAAGCATCTTGATAGGTGTATTACATCAAAAGGAGAGTGCTTTGAAGGTGACTGAAGTTTAAACATGTAAGAATAAATACACAATTTTAAATAAATAAATTCCGGGGTTTTGGGGATCCCCCCCTCATATAATGTCAGATGTTCAAAAAAGAAATGAAATTTTGTCTAGAAAGTTGAATAAACATTGGTTTTATTTAATAAAACTGTCACGTTCTTATAATTATCATGTCATTGTTCCTTTTTAAAAATCTAATTATGGCCTTTGGGCAATGCCTTCCAGTAAGGTTTACATTTTTTTTTCTATTTTGCTGCACTTTTTCCAAGCACTTTCAGAGTCATTTCCTTTGATAATTATAATAACACTTTATAGACTAGGCAAGTGTTATTATTTCCATTGTTCAGATGAAGAAATTAAAGTTCATAGCTAACTTGTCAAAAATCATACACCAAGAGTGACAGAACAAGAACTAAACTTGTAAATCTCAGAAGCTTCCTCTCAGAGCATTTCCTCTTTACCATGGTGTAGTGGCTATGAAAAGGCACCGCTCAGCCCTTCTGTGACCAGGAGCACAGCTGACTGGTGTTCCCAGCTGCTGCCTCTGGAGATCCGCCAGGAGCTGAGACAATGTTGCCCCAGGGCTGCTGCCAGTCAGTAACTAAGCTCTGTGGGTGTGTTAATGCAAGCCCACTTCTGCCAAGTACTGGGTTTGTGACAGGTGACTGGCTTAAGGACTCACCACTGGCCTAGCTCACACTTCCTTGGAACTCCCCTACAGTCTAAGATTCTTCATGCAAAAACCTTCCTGCAGGGATGTCAGAGCCCCATCATGGTTTGATGATGCACCCTGCCATCTCAAGCTCCCTCCTCTTTATCCTTCACAAGCATTCCCCTAACTACTTGCACCTCTAATCTAGTCTTGATGTCTGTTTCTTGGAGTACACCAACTAACAAACACGGAGTGATCTATTTTCTACCAAGATATTTTGCAACTCTTGTCAATTTTCTACACTGTAGGCATTATGGGGAGATGGGTCTCAGGCATGAACATTTTAATAAAATTCTGCTTATGTTTATGGTGCATACTCCTTGGTTAAGAACCATTGTTTTATAAGCAAAAGTTTTATTGAACTTCTGCTACTTAGCATCTTTGTAAGGGTATACTTTTAATAATCCCAAGGTACTGCTAGAAAACTGACTGAAAAACCAATAACACAAATGAAGAAGGTTTGATCTGGGGAACCCAAAAAATCATAAGATTATGGGAAGGTAGAGAAGTTTATAAGAAGAAGAGTTCACACCAGATACACATAAGTGAGACAGCATATAGGAGGGAATACAGCACCTAGCACTTAGACAAAAGGAAACCCATATAAATGCAGATTTGGGATAAATTACCTTGTAGGTTGTAGTAAGATTCTTCAGAACTTGAATTTGCCTAGAAGTTTGAGGAAGAGCAGATAAAACCTGGCCACTGAGGGGGAAAAAAACATAGAATTTTGATATTATATAAAAAGTAAAATGGATTATATTGTGCTGCACGGAGGGGGGCGCTTCTAGGCAATTGTCAAAAGAAAACAAAATTTAAATTTTAAAAAAGTCAGACACTTTCACTATAGACAAAGAGTAAAAAGAGAATTTATTCTCAGTCTTTCTGTTCCTAAGCAATTGCAAGGTCAACAACTGTCTTGAATGAGGGTCAGTTTGCAGAGTACTTACTTCTTTCTTCACTCGTGTGTGTGTGCACGTGTTGCATGTTTTAATTTTAAAAGTTAAATATTAGATGCATAAGAGAATATTTATGTTAATACTGGTTTATTAAATAATAAAATGAATGCTGGTGATTCCATCACCCACCTGAAAAATTCCCACTTCATGGACATGCTGAAACTGCTTGTGTGCCCCACTCTGTCCTGCGCCCACTGCCATGTCTCCAGTGGTATCAACAAGCTTACATTCTCACTTTTGCTCATTCCCTTACTTTTCTTTATGGTATGAACTTATAAGCACATGTATGGTATGTGTGGATTTTTAAACAACACACAGATTTGTTTGATTTAACTTAATAAAAATAGCATGCTATACATATTCTTCTGAATTTGTTTTTCTACTCAACATTGTATTTTCAAGATTATCATGTTTGTTGAAGTATCTAGCCACAATACAAGAATTTTCCTACCTATGGAATTGCCATTTCATAGGATATCCACAGTGTTAATTTTACAGGATAGTGTCAAATCAGTCCTCAAACTTTTTGTATCAGTGTTTATGGTTGGCCAGGCTTGGTAGCTCATGCCTGTAATCCCAGTACTTTGGGAGACTGAGGAGGGAGGATCGCTTGAGTCCAGTAGTTTGAGACCAGCTTGGTCAATATAGTGAGATCTGTCTCTACAAAGTAAAAAAAAAAAAAGCTAGTTGGGCATGGTGGCACATGCCTGTTGTCCCAGGTACTTGGGAGACTAAAGCAAAAGGATCACCTGAGCCCAGTTGTCGTGAGCTGTGATCATGCCACTGCACTCCAGCCTAAGTGACAAAGTGAGACCCAGACTGAAAAAAAAAGTATATGGTCAGCAGTAGTGCAAAAGTTTTCCTGTTGTTACCCCTCCTCGCCAACGTCTGATGCTGTCTGACTTTTTATTTTTTCCAATCGAGTGGTTGTGAAATGAAATCTCATGATTTTAATTTTCTGACTTATTAATGAAAGAGTTATTTCTCTTTGATTATTCACCATTCTTATTTTCTCTTGTGCTATGCTTGTTCAGGTCATTTGCCCATTTTTCTATTAATCTGTATTCTGACAATAATTTATTAGCATAATTTCTTTCTATAGTTAAAGATAAATTCGGTGTCATTTGTGCTTTTTATCCATCGTTTTTTTCTAGGTTGGTGTTGCTTAAGAACCCTTTTTAAGTGCCTGGGATATAAAGATATATCATATGTTTCTTTTGTCTTTCTTAATTTTAAACCCACTTGAGAATTATTTGGTTGTGTGCAGTGCAAGGAAATAAATTACTTCTTTTTTTTCCTTCTTACCATCATTTATTAATCACTGATACTTTCCTCAGGGATCTGCTATGTCAATTTTGTAATAGATCAACTTTGCATTCTCTTCGGCCAAGAAAATGTTGGTTCATTACACCGTTGCCTCTTCCTGTGTACACAGAGAAAGTGAATTTCCCAGCCTCCCATGTGGTTGTGTGAGGACTCCATCCCTGAGTTTTTGCCAACAGGAATGCAAGCAGGAGTGATGAGGCAGTTAAGATCAGCTACATTCATGTGCTCTTTCCCATCCTAAGCCTGAAGCAAAGAGCCCCAAGATGTGGAGTTGTTTAATGGAAGTAGCCCAAATCTCCTCTTTGGAAGAGAACCCCAGGGAGAGCACTGTGACCTTCATCAATTGGTAATATGAGTGAGAAATTGATGTGGTATGATGTTTGTGTCCCCTCAAAATTCATATGGATGGTATTCTGTGGTAAGGTCTTTGGAAAGTGATTAGGTCATGAGGGCTGAGCCCTCATGAATGGGATTAGTGACCTTATAAAAGAGACACCCTTTCCCTCCTACCATCTGAATATACGGTGAGAAAGCGCTGTCTGTGGGGAAGCAGGCCCTTCCCAGACCTAGAATTTTCTGGTGCCTTCATCTTGAACTTTCCAGCTTCCAGAATTGTGAGTAATAAATTTCTGTTGTTTATAAGCCACCTATTTTAAGGCATTTTTGTTATAGCAGCCTGAAAGGACTTAGACTTAACCCTTTATTGTGTTAAATAAAGCTATTTTATTAGCTATTGTGGCATAATCATGGATCAGCCTCACTAACATAGCGTGGTCTATTTCTTGGTTCTCCATTATGTTCTATTGGTTTAGTTGTCTTTTCTTGAGCCAGTCTCTCTCATTTTAGCGACTGCAGCTCTATGTTAAGTCCTAATATCTTACAGAACAAGATCTTGCTCCTCCTGTCCCCCGCTCAATTCTTTTTAAAGAGCCTCTTGGCTTGATTCTTTGATTCTCCATATCAATTTTTAAAATCAGCTTGTCATATTCTGGTAAAAATTTTTAACTTTCTTTGGCATGATATTGAATCTATAGATTAAATAATTTGTGGAGAACCTATATACTCATGATTCTGAGTCTCCTTATCAGTAAATACAATAGATTTGTGTATTCTTTAATGGCCTTCAAACATTTTTAAATAATTTTACCTATAAAAATATTGCACATTAAAAAAATTATATTTGTTCTAACAAATTTGCCTTTTCTTTTGCAAATGGTAACTTTTAATATGCCATCTCTTAGCTCATTGTTGTTGAGATATAGAAGTAGCTGGAACTACAGACGCGCGCTACCATGCCCGGCTAGTTTTTTATTTATTTATTGTAGAGATGAGGTCTTGCCAAGTTGCCCAGGTGGGTCTTGAACCCACGGACTCAGGCAATCCATTCACCTCAGCCTCCCAAAGCACAGGATTACACGCTGAGCCACCGAGCCCGGCTTAAAATAGATTTTTGGATGTTGATTTTCTATCCAGCTCTCTTAGTAATGTGGATAATTTTAATGTAGCTATTTGGGGGAATTTTTGCATTTGCAAATAATCATTACATCTGTGCATACTAAGTTTCCTTCTGTCATTTAAATGTGTATAGAGTCTATCCTCCTCCTTCTTCTTCTCCTCCTCCTCTTCTTTCTTCTTCTCCTCCTTCTTTTCTCTTACTGTGTTGGCTAGAATGCCAGTATAATGTTGATTAGAAGTAGAAATAAAATGCATGATTAATAATTTTTAAAACATCTAATGTTTCACTGCTAGAATGCTTGTTGCAGGTTTTGGGTAGATGCCTTTTATCAGCTTAAAGAAATTCTTTCTGCTTTTCACTACGTGTTCTTATGATGAATGGGTATGAATTTGACATTTTTTTAATAAGATGAGCATAAGGGTTTTCTGATTTAATCTCTTCATGTGGTGAATTACATTAATAGATTTGTTTTTAAGCTGACACTTGATTTAATTTGCTTTCTCACCTTTGTCTTGTCATATTTCTTTCTGCTTTGCAACTCTTGCTAGAGCTGTGAGGAATTCTTAGTTATTCAGCCAAGGCAGTAGATTAGTGTAACTCAACATGAATTGACCTCATTTTCACATACCACTTACTCAGAAAAGAAATAATTTCTTAGTAAATTTTATCTTTATCTGCAGCTCTTTACCCAGTTTTGTAGGTGGAGGATATTTGTATAAAGAGAGAAAGGAAGTAGTGAGGTGAGGGACTGTGGAATCTGTTAACAGTAATGGCATGGTTAGGTTTCCAGTACACTTCTAAGTAATCTCCCAAGAATTATTTTATTTAAACTTAACTTAAGCTACCTTGGCAGCATTTGTCAGCAGGGAGCCCATTTTTTAACTGAATGAGTCTTTTTCTTTTATTTTCAGACAAATGTTGCCTTTAAAATATGAGAATAAATATTTTTTAAATCAGTAAGATGATTTCCTCTTGTTTTATTTAAAACTAAGCTTAGATGTTGCTTCCAGTATAGATGGAGAAACAGGAACCAAGGAAACAACTAAAAAACTGGACAAATGTATGGAACAATGGCCCTCAAGACATTGGACAAAAGCAGCATAATGACTGAATACAACATCCTAGATTGGATCCTGGAACAACGACAAAAGGACATTAGTGGGAAAACTGGTGAAATCCAAACAAAGTCTGGAGTTGAGTTAATAGTAATAATGTACCAATGTTTCTTCTTCAGTTTTGACACATATACCATGGTAATGTGAGATGTAAACATTAGGATATACTGGGTGAGAGGCATGCAATTGTATTATCTTGGCAGTTTTTCTGTAAAACTAAAAATATTCCAAATAAAACATTAAAAAAAAACAAAACCCAACCATGTACCAAGAGTTCTGAAATCACAAAAGAGGTTATGATAATGTCTGTTTGTCATTCTTAGCAAATACTTCATAGAAGAGATGATCGAGTAAGTAAGGATGTCTAAGAGAGTTTAAAGGCACAATAGCACAGAGTACCATATGTTCTCATTCATAAGCAGACCTTGAACAATTATCATAATACTATAAGAAAGGGGTTGGCAGCTGGGCTCGGTGGCTCAGCCTGTAATCCCGCGCCTTGGGAGGCTGAGGTGAGTGGATTGCCTGAGCCCGTGGGTTTGAGAACTGCCTGGGCAACGTGGCAATACCTCATCTCTACAATAAATCAAAAAATTAGCTGGGTGTGGTGGCACACACCTGTGGTTCCAGCTACTTGGAAGGCTGAGGCGGAAGGATCGCCAGAGCACAGCAGGTCGAGGCTGTGGTGGCCGGGAGCAGCAACTGCACTCCAGTCTGGGTGACAGAGTGAGACTCCAACTCACCAAAAAAAAAAAAAAGGGATTGGTAACTGCCAGGGGATGGAGGTGGGATTGGCAGTTGAGGGAAACTGCCAGGGGAGGGAGGAGCACACCTCATTATTATGTACAA